ACACTGGTCAACAACAAATTTGTTGTCTGTGTTTTTTCAGTTGATTTAGGATGAATCTGATGCGCTGAATCCAAAAATCACATTGGTTTTGCTCAATCAGGTCAAGTTTTTGAGCTATGGCCACATGTCATTTTTTTACATTTTTGTTCACATGTACGCTTGTGTGGAGCATTTTAGAAGAAGTTGGTGGGGGTAAAATGCCATGTCGAATAATTGTTTTGATTGGAAATGATTATTTTAATGACAAGAAGTATTCAGGTCCAATAGTTCTGGGTGATTATGTCGAAAAGGGATCAGTTTGAAGTCATAAAACCTGGAAATCTTCCATAAATTGGTGTGGCAAAGCATAGTTATTTTGGTATTAAACTTGGTGACCAGGATAAAGCTTGGGCGCCACACATGGTGTGCAAGGCATGCACCGAGACTCTACGTGGGTGGACCAATGGCAAGAGGAGTCTGAACTTTGGAATTCCCATGGTTTGGAGGGAGCTGACAAACCATGTCACTGACTGCTACTTCTGCGCTGTTGATGTGACTGGGATCAACAGAAAGAACCGGAGCAGCCTCAAGTGTCCTGATCTTCAATCAGCACGTCGTCCTGTAGCTCATTGTGATGAAATTCCAGTGCCTATCTTCGGAGAACTTCCTGACATTAGTGACGAAGATGCCTCCAGTGTTGAAGGGCATGAAGAAGAAGAAGTGGTTCTTGAAGATGATGCTCCACATCCATTTTCCGAAAAGGAGTTGAATGATCTAGTTCGCGACCTCAGCTTGTCAAAGGACTCTGCCGAACTGTTGGCATCCAGATTGAAGGAAAAAAACCTCCTCTCTGACAGTGCTCACATCAGCTTCTTCCGCAACAGGCATCAAGAGTACCTCCGTTTTTTTCTCGGAAGAGAAGGACTTGGTGTACTGTGCAGATATTGCGCAGCTTCTGCTCCAAGCTTGGAGTGCCACAGTACGAACCCAAAGATTGGAGACTGTTCATTGACAGCAGCAAGTGATCACTGAAATGTGTTCTGCTACACAACAGCAACCAGTTTGCCTCTATACCCCTGGCTCACTCGACTACACTGAAGGAGAACTATGAAGCGGTGAAGTATGTGCTGGAGAAAATTGGTTATGATCAGCATAAGTGGTTTATTTGTGTTGACCTGAAGATTGTGAACTTTTTGTTGGGACAACAGTCTGGCTTCACCAAGTACTCATGTTTTCTGTGCATGTGGGATAGTAGGGACTGTGCTCAGCATTACACGAAGAAGGACTGGCCTGTGCGGGAGGAATTGGTGCCTTGCAAAGAAAGGAACGTCATCAACGACTCTCTGGTGGACAGAGACAGAATACTCTTCCCACCGCTGCACATCAAGCTCGGCTTAATCAAGCAGTTCACCAAGGCTCTGGACAAGGATGCTGACTGCTTCACTTACTTGTGCCAGGCTTTTCCAGGATTGACCATGGAGAAATTGAAAGTTGGCATCTTTGACGGTCCTCAGATCCATCAGCTTATCAGAGATCCAGAGTTTGGAAACTCAATGAATGAAGTGAACTGGAAGCGTGGAAGGCATTTGTTCTGGTAGTGAAGAAATTTCTGGGCAACAATAAGGCCAGAAACTACGCAGAACTTGTCAACAACATGCTGACTGCTTTCAGAAACCTGGGCTGCAACATCAGCGTCAAGATGCACTACCTATTTTCACATCTGGAACGGTTTCCTGAGAACCTGGGTTCAATGAGTGATGAGCAGGGGGAGAGATTCCATCGGGACATGAAAGAGATGGAGACCAGGCATCAGGGTCGCTGGGACGCAGTCATGATGGCTGACTACTGTTGGACTCTGAAAAGAGACCTCCCTGCCACTGAGCATTCCTGGAGTTCCAAGAAACAGAAGTTCAAGCCCTGAAGTTTGAAAAATGGTGAAGCAACATGCAATTTACGTGTACTTACCTTTATCAATGCCCACCATTCAGTTTACAGTAATCGATGTTTTTATCAGGTAATCAATATATGTTGTTGGAAAAACATTTTTTTCTCTTAAAAACATATTTAGGATAATATGTGTTGACAAAAATCAGCTGATAATGCCACAAAAATGTAATTGATTTTGTCACAAGATCTGATTTTTCAAATCAACATAGCACAAAAACCTGACCTGATGGAGAGAAACGGATGCCATTTCCTGATTCAGCAGTGCAAAAATACCCTAAATCAATTGTAGAAATCTAGACAACATTCAAAAAGTAAAAAATTGTTGCCCAGTGTAATGCATACCTGGATCAGGGCAAGTGGACCTAGGTCTGAAAATCTCAAGCTAAAACACATCCATCCAAGGAACCAAAAGGTAAAGGTAAAGGACGCCTCGACGGTTAAGTCCTGTCAAAGGTGAGCTCATCTCGTTTTTCAGGCCGAGGGAGCTAATGTTTGTCCACAGACGGCTTTCTGGGTCATGTGGCTAGCATGACCAAAACGCTTCTGGAGCAACAGGACACCATGACAGAAACCAGAGCATACGGAACATTGTTTACCTTCCTGCTGCAGCGGTACCTATTTCTCTACTTGCACTGGTATGCTTTCAAACTGCTAGGTTGGCAGGAGCTGAGACAGAGCAACGGGAGCTCACCTCATCGTGAGGATTCGAACTGCTGACCTTATAATCTGAAAGCCCAAGAGGCTCGGTGGTTTAGACCACAGTGCCACCCGCGTCTCCTACTCCCCCCCCCTTTTTAGTGGCTCACTCTTGTTCTCTTCTCTCCGCCTATTAAGTATAACAGTTTTCCATACAGAACTAAGAATCTGCCACTTCAACAAAACTGATTCATTAAGCTATTGCAATGTATCTATATAAAATGGTACATACCCATATGTTACTCCCGCAATGCTGCATTTCTTAAAGTTCATAATATTGCATGTTAAGGTGCCCGTTTTATCAGAAAACAGGTATTTTACCTAGAAGTCAAATGGCAGGCATTGAAGTTAGGATATCTGTACAATGAAAAGGGAAGTGCAAATTATACAAGAAGGTGGGCCATCAGAACAGACATGCGCCACCTTTCTTCACACGGTCAAACAGAAATAAAGCAAGGTTACCAGATTTTTTTCAATACATACATACATACATACATACATACTACACATTCAGGACATTGATGCTGCAGTGATGGCGGTGGCAGAGGGAAGGGAGGTTTCTCACTGCCTTTCGGAGCAGCCCCATCCCAACTCCTACTTGCGTGTAAGCTGGAGGGGCGGGGATCCCTCAGCTGGGAAGGGAGGCTTCCCGTTGCCTATCTGAGAGATCCCTGCCCCTCTTGCTTGCATGCAAGCTCTGCTACAGTGTGAAGTCTCCCTTCACGGCTGAGAGATCCCCACGCTGCTCCTGCTTGCACACAAGTAGGAGTTGGGAGGCTGCTCCAACAGGCAGCATGTAGCCTCCCTTCACAGCTTAGTTGCTGGGGTCAGGGAAGGTGGACACAGCCCGGAAACTGCATCTTAGAGCCCCTGCACCACCATCATATGGGGACTTCCGAGCAGCTCCTGAAGCCAGCCAGAGCCAACTGCTCCGGGCTGCTGAGACTGCCACTGCTGCATTTCCCGGGGACATTAGATGAAATCCAGGGACATTCTGGAGATGGAATTTGTCTGGGGACTTATTTGCAAATCCGGGGACTGTCCCCGGAAAACAGGGACGTCTGGTAACCCTAAAATAAGGGCATCTGATCCCAATGGCTATATTCTACATCATTTGGAAGAATGGCAGTATAAAAAAGGAATAATAATGCAAATGTATTACTTCTGTCACCTGAACTTAAAAGAATCACCACTGCAGAAAATAATAAGTTATAATAAGTTGTTCAAAAGGGCACAGAAAGGGTCGTTTGTGCCATTAAGGATTTAGGAGAAGAAGAAGAAGAGGAGTTTGGATTTGATATCCCGCCTTTCACTCCCCTTCAGGAGTCTCAAAGCAGCTAACATTCTCCTTTCCCTTCCTCCCCCACAACAAACACTCTGTGAGGTGAGTGGGGCTGAGAGACTTCAAAGAAGTGTGACTGGCCCAAGGTCACCCAGCAGCTGCATGTGGAGGAGCGGAGACGCGAACCCGGTTCCCCAGATTACGAGATTACCGCTCTTAACCACTACACCACACTGGCTTTACTAGGTGCTACAATGGATACGGCACAAACACAGTCCCCAGCAAGACAGTGTTCACTGTAATTCACAATGCTTTTTAGAAGGCTTGCCTACAATCGCTGAGGAAGGGATCTAGCAGTTTATCATTGTGAATTCTCAAGCGTTATTCATAGATTGCAAGCATGGAACGAAAAGTACTGCACAAGTCTAATAGTTGGTTTTTCACATCGTTCTCTGCCATCATACCACATTCTATCGTTCTTACCTGGCCGAGTTCCTCATTAAGGTTTGAAGTCCTGGCCATTGCAGGTGTATCTGTTTCATGATAATACATATCTATGTCCTGAAAGCAAGGAGAAGTGAGGATGCTTAAAGTGAAAGCCTATAGATGCCTACACAGAAGTAAGTTCCAGTGAGTTCAAAGGGGCCTACTTCCAACTGAGTGGGTAGAGGATTGCAGCCTCAATCAACATTTGAATCTAAAGTGTTCTTCATGAAGTATATTCTATTTTTATCTGCTTCACCAATGTATTATGCTGAGGTTTCACTGCTGTTCTGCTCTATTTTACTAACAGTCTCATACCCACCATTACTCAGGAATGCTAAAAATCCAAAAATCCAGTGCAGTTTTGAAATCTGTGGTTAAAAGCTGTGCAGTTTTTAAAGGTTCAGTCTACCTTCTTGATTTGAAATAGAATCTAATTGAATCCAAAAATACATACAAAATCTGTTCATTGGTCTAAGGAACCACCATGCAAAATATGGGTTACATACAAAATACAGTCAAGGAAGATGTCAACAATGGGTGATTTCTGCATATTAAAATCTCCTCTGATAAATTGTGAACATCAGGAGAGACAGAGGGGTCCCTGAGTTTAATAAATTTGTTTTTATTTTGCATATGGAAAGTTTTTCTGGCAATTGAAAAAGCGCTGTTTTCTTTTGCATAGTGAAAGTTTTGAAAGTCTTCCATGCAGCCCGCTGCCAACCAGGTTCCAGCTGTGGCTAGAAAAGAGATGAAGATTCATGCACAGCTTTGCTTAAATAAATGTCACTCTTATTTTACATTCCAAGTACTTACCCAGTTTATAAAAAGAGCCTGAGTAAACTTCACGACTTCCAGAGTCACCAACAGACTGATGGGAATGAGGTTGTTGTACAAGATTATGAAGGTGAGCAGGTTGTATCCAAAATTGCCTGGGATTGTTTCTGCAAGCCAACACGGAGAGCAGAGAGAGAGAGAGAGAGAGAGAGTCACTAGGGAGGAAGGCATTGGTACATGTGTGGGGTTGTGTTTTTGTTTTTTTTAAAAAAACACCTTTATTGTGCAATAAAAAACAATAACAAAACAAACTGCTCCCGATTTCTCATGTGCCATTGTTGCAGTGTTTGGCTGGAAAGAAGTGATAAGCATTAAAATCAACGACAAAGCCCCTCCAAAACCCAATGTGAGTTGCTGGAGGTTGTGAACTCTCAAGACATGTTATTTGCGAAAGTTAGGAATAGAAACCACACTGCGTCAAATTGATTAGATGTAGCTTGGCCCCTCACTTTCTACATATCATGCGGTAATCTTTCCATGAGACTGAGACACGACACTTCCAGCTTCCAATTATTGCTGACCAATCTTAGCCTCAGGGAGGGAAGTGTCTCTGAAACAAATGCACCACTGGTAACTTACTCCAACAAAATTAAGTCATCGTTCCTCAAAAAGTGAGGTGTGCATTTTTCAATAAATGAAAATAATCAAGTTTTGCTTTAAGGCGGGGGTAAAACTTTTGGGGCCTGTGGAAGCATTTCCAAACTGGAGAAACAGCCTTCGGTTCCAAACACAAACACTGCAGTCAAGTACACACCACAACCTATTCCATTGGCTACGAAACAGTGTTTCTTTATTTCAGTGGAGAGTGGGAAATCTGTGGGTGCCACAGAAACCTTCTGCGGGTGCATTGTGAAACCCTTGCTTTAAGACAATCTGTGGTACCCCAGTAGTAGTGTAGATACAGAATC